GTGAGGAAAAGAAATGTTTAAGACATTGTTGATATTGCGTCAGCAAGTGTTTGTTAGTTATACTATCTACTAATGTAGCTAATGGACCATAGCTACACAATAAAATGGGGATATATGATAAAATTATATGAATAAATTAATTAATAGTAAAATTATAAATATAAGTAAAATATAATATAATGATATGTAAAAAGGGGGGTGGGGGACAGTAACATATATATTAATCCTCAGTGTATGATATATAATTAAATATATTATTAGTAGTATGTAATTATTTAGTCCTAATAATATTTGATAATTATGCTATATTATATTGAGGTGGATGACTTAGCTTATATGATATAATATATTATACTATTTATGTTTCAAGTGATGTATATATAGTGTTATATTTGTGTAATATGTATATAGGTGTATCATGTAATTTAGATAAATATTGTTATTGTATTATCTTGACTATACATGCTTAGTATTGGATTATATATGGTAGTGGTATTTTAGTCTATATATTAGTATGTAGTATGTCATTTATGTATACTTTGGTATATGTATATTGGAGATTGGCTAGTATATGCTTGTATGTAAATAATAACGCTATATGTATTGAGTTGTTTATGATAGTATATTGGTTAATATGCTTAGCAAATTAGGGCATCTATATGATATATGTATATATTAATGGTGCAATTTGATGAGAAATTATATAGTGTATTATCATACATAACAATCCTACACAAATATTCTATTTCATTCATTAAGTATAAGTTTAATAATATTTGTTATTTGTAAAATATTAATTGAGTACTTATTAGCTGTATTATTCGATGAGATATGTAGTACTCTCTATCTCACTTAAATTTGTTATTATATGTAATATATATACTATTGTGTTATGTAAATAGAACTAATTCATATACTGAGTACTCATGTAACAATATAAAATATATGATTATAATGAATATATAATATTGAAATATAAATGATATCTAATGTCTGCTCATCTATGCCTATGCAGTGACTGGACAATATGTACGTGCTTAAACGACTAGTGTGACATTCACACGTGTTAGTAAAGGATACCTAAATTATATCAACTCGAGAGGAGGTGATGTCTAATAATAGTTGATATCTCACAAATCTCTAGAACTAGTTTATAACCTGGGTGAGATGATAATCCCTGCTTCATTTGTTGTAACTATTCCCTCATACTCTATGATAATATAATATATTTCTCACTCATGTTATGTGCTCTGCTTTATTTTTATCTTATTTCTCTTTTTTTACTTTCATTGAGAATGGATATGCCACATAGTTGTCTAGTTAGGCTTGTCTGGCTGAGCTACCATTTTTTGTAGTGCGAATAGAAAGGAATTTTCTATTTTGATCTCTTTATATGTGAGATGTTGTATATAGTTTTATTTACCAAAACATAAATAGTATTACTCTCATTATGTTGTGTTATCCACGCAGACCTAATCGACACTCTCCTCTCGCGCGATCTGGTGAATGCACATCACTCGAAATAGAATTCTGCAATATAAAGTGTATATAGTGTATTAGAACTGACAAATATTGATGTTAGTGGCTTACATTATCTCTCTGCTGTGTCCAGCATTTTTAGCTCGTGCGTGCATTTCATAAGTAGCGTCGACAAGGCTTCCGTGTCTCATAGCCTTTTAGCCATTGATTTATGTAAGGATAAGACATGTTGATAGTCTTGTGTGCGCTTACTCAGATGTGACCACTACATCTCTAGCTCTTTATAAGATTGATACAGAGATTGTGGCCATGGCGTTGAAACTTTTTCTCATAATGTTACATAATTATGGCACAAGTGGGGTTGTCTTTCAGAGACATTAGACTATTGTTATGGCGAAATGCATCAGACTCATGATGAAAATTGTGACAATTTGCATGTAGCGCATTATCTTTTGCTTAGATATCTATAGTCCTAATCATAGGCTGGAGGCAAGTGACGTGGCGAAGTCTACGTGGGACCTTTAACAAATGATCCAATTGGAGGTATTGTCTATATACGCTATATTATATGCATACTGTTTGAAAGATATGTCATAGATGTGTGAGACCTACACATAGATATGGAAAATAATAATAGAGAATAATAATCTAATAAAATATAATTAATGAATTAAGTGTAGAGAAAGACTACAAAAATCTCTGAAGCCTTAGTGTTTTAGTTTATCGGTTCGCACCAAGGTATAGTCTCAATGTGTCTTGAAATTCTCTCTGTTCTTTAAACATATCCAGTATCGAGTAAGCCGTGATTTCAATATATTATGAGCTCTTTTCTCCATTCTATGTTTACTCGAGCGTCGTGAACATAGTGTGTCATAGCCTCACTCGCTCGAAGTTTTATGCATATTGCGAGCCTGCACATCCTTAGCTCATCTGTCCCGCATTGGGTCTGAATGAATCGTGCATCATTCCTAGCTTTTCAATAATTTTATGCAACATGGTCGTCAACTGCTATGAAATGTTAATAAAGATGATGGAAACTTAGTCACCCTTTTGTTATTTCTTTTATAATCGTCTCTGAGTGCTTTTGAACAAATACGAGGGGATTACTACAACAGATAAACTAGGACTCAATTTATAACGATGTGTGCAATATTAAATGGCTCTTGTAATGATATATGATGAAATTGTGTGTGATCCAAGAGCCAAGCCTAACTTAACAAGTCTAGGTGCCACATCTTTCTAATTCATATTCAATTGTAAGCACACATATGTTAAATGCGTCCCAGTAGTAGGACGTTCACATTGTGAGCGAAAAAAGACTAGACCTATAATACACAGAAGATGAGTTATATTGCCCTCCTTGATTAGAGAGCTTGCTGAATAGTTTTTTACAGTTTGTTGATATGCTAATCCTATAGCTTGATTCATTCGTTAGTATAGGTTTGCAGTTGACAGCGACTTATTGGGCAGATCTTTGTGTACATCTCTTCATGATTTGGCCACTATAATTTTGAATCGGACTCATTGATAGCCTCATACTTCTCCTAGCTGCGACCAATCTTGTTAAATATATATAGATGTTAACCATTTATTAAGTATATAACTCAACACACATAAAATAGATATAAATCCTTGGACACTAATAGATAGCGATCTATCATTGTGGCCTCGAGGCTAAGTGCGTATTATGGCTGGGCTTGTGCATTCTCACGAGAAAGTCCAGTGTATTGGCGATATCTTACTAGCGCCAGCAGCTAAAATCTTCCACTCACACCAAAAGTGGAAGGAGAGAAGATGATCATGTAACCTCATAAATGTCGTGTCAATTCAGCGTGGCAATATAATCATGTGAAATTCGCGCTAGTTCTATGAGAAGTGTCTAGTACCAGCATAGTACTAATTACCTTGGACCTCCGATCATGTATACATTTTGGATATCAGGCGCTTACGTAACATCCAACCCAATAAAACTACAAAACATCAAGATTTTAACAAGTTATCAAAAAGCATGTAACAGATGTGAGTGCGTACACCACTGTCTCCATTTATACATTTCTATGATAAAACAAATAATGGGATACTTAAAATAGACAATGGTAACTCTATGTGATGCGTTTCATGGACTTCACTGCTTCTCAATTTCTATGTTCATTATGGATATGAGACCTGTGTACACATCTTATAAAGTGCGCTTGTGTTGCATTTATGAACTCTCCTTACTCTAGGGTACCTATAACTAGGTTTCCCTATTATCCTATATTGAGAACTATAGAAAATGCCCAAGTGAGATCTGGCCACTGAACGGCTCCCATATACCCTGATGACAATGAGCTAAAGAGCTGTGAGATTGAATAACTGATATTATATGATATCTATTCTAAAGTTCTTTGTCAAAGCGTCGTAATGTATATTATCTATTTAAGTTTCTTTTTATAAAGTAGGGAAGAATTTCTATGTCACTTGTAAATTTTTGTTTTGTTTTTTGTTTAATGTCAAATAATGGGCAGGATTAGACTTGGGTAGCTAGACGGATAGTTAGCAGCCAAATAGTCAAATTAGGATTATCTTGTTTAAATGTCTGATAGGGCAACTGCCTTTTAGAAGCCCTTTATGTCTGGCAGGATGTATGTATTAACCCAGTGAAAACATAAGAGAAAATTTTTATTATAACTGCATATCAAAGTGGCTTGCTTCAATTAGTGCCCAAGTCTAATCTGACTGCCCCTCATACCCCCTTCGCATCCTGGTACATGATGATGCTAATGGCCAATTATCCCTTTTGCATCTTGGTACATGATGCTAACTGGCCAATTAACTATGTGCTGTAATGAACAAAAATGCCTAGCTGTGGTGTGCCATTAAAAATATCATTCTTGCAGTCTCATGTTTTTATCTTCAGAATATTTTGTAAGAAGCCCTCAGTATTGTATTAGAAATATAGGTATAATTTTCATCTTATACAATGCTACTCAAAGTATATAATTTTACAAGCTTATTAAAAGCATGCTCTTCTGACTTGATGGTCAGACTGTAGGTCACCTGGCACGACCATTGTGAGGCATTTAACCCATCGATATTTGGTAACACCAGCATTCGTGATCCTTGTGCAACTAGTCGATGAGGTTTGTCTTTTCATATATTTTTTTTTTATTAAACCCTTTTTTTTTTTTTTTTTTTTACTGAAGATAACCTCATTGATATTTTTGTTAAGGTCAAAGTTGATTGGCATGTCAAACTTGCTCTGCTCAGTTGTGCTTGGAATTGCAAATGTTCTTGTGCTTGATTGATGTGTGGCAACCACTTGGGAAATTATCTGCAAAAGTCAAGCCAGGCACAACTGATCATCTTTATGTGTACACTCTGAACCCCAAAGTCAGACAGCAATCTTGTACAGTTAAAGTACCTATTATAAATAATAAAATTATCAAATTAGATTACTCTTTTATTGCAAACACTTTACAGAATTTTGGTTGTACTTGAATGTTCAGTGTTTCTGACATCTATGGTTCATTTAGGTTGGTAAAAAATATACACATCTCTACACTATAAATTATAAAATCTTTCATCCCTCAAATGGTCCAGCAGCCAACAAAACATTTCTTCTGGTAAAGTGTGTTGCAAGCACTGGTGTATTTTTCGTTGGGAATGTTCCCAAGAGCAAGGATTCACTCCGTTTAACTTCAGGATTGTGAGATACACTGACATCCTCCTCGTGATTGTCTTCTAGAACACGTGTGAAGTCCCACAGCTTTACGCAGTTGTCCAGTCCACCTGAAGGCAGGGAGATTAGTTTTTATTTTTTTATTTTTTTTTTGTGTGTGTGTGTATGATGTTCTTTATAACAAATGTAAATAAACATAAAATAACAAAATTAGGAAGAGTACCAACCTGAAGCAAGCATATTACAATCTCTTGAGAAAGAAATTGTGTAGATTGTTGATGTATGAGATAACATTTCAGCAATAAGATGCCCATTTGCCAGATCCCATACTAAAACACGCTTGTCGCCACCACCAGAAGCCAGAAACCTCCCACATGGTGAAAATGCTAATGCATCAATAACATCCTGAAAAGTTAGTCAATAAGTTAAATGGATAATCTTTCTGTTGTACTGCCCCCCCCCTTTTTTTCTTTTTTTCTATTAATTTCTTTCCTTCCCTTTTTGTGAGCTGGTCATTAGCTACATTAGAGATAACACAACTCTGACCATATCAACAATCCTTAAACATTTCTTTCCCTCACTTTCATCTCCTATATTCCAGCATCTTTTCACACACTACATCAATTATCAAGTAATCACCCTTGTAGCAATATATTGTTCCCTATTTCTCAAATTAGAAATTTTGTATATGTCCAAGTTTCTGCCACCTTGTCCTCCTACATTTGTGTATGAAACACCTGAGTTTCTTTTCTAAGTATTCCTTCTTGCCTACTTGTACTTTGAACATTTCCTCAATAAAAGATACTCGGAAAGACTATTCTAATATTTACTCCTACTAAAATTTGGGGCACAAGTACATACATACATATATACATATAAATATAAATATGTTATTTAAATACAAAAAACATTTAAAATGTAATTACCTTGTGGCCTGTTAGAACACGAACACAATTTCCATTGAGGACATCCCATAGTCTGATGCTGCGATCGCTAGAACCAGAAGCAACATAATTGCTGTTTGGGTGGAACTGAACAACCTGTGGAAAAATTAATCCAAATTAATGCTATGCAGTGGAAAGGGAACAAGGATAGATGTAGTGTATGACTCTGAAATGAATGACACAATGTACCCATACTAAAAAGAAATATATATATATAAATAAATGAACAAATATATATAGCTCCAACCTGATCTTTTTATTTTTCCTTTTACAAGAATGCATGAATTTACTGTACATTTACTTTCTTATTTTTTTGGACACTTACATCAACATCTGAAAAATGCCCTGCAAAAATTCTTAATGGCTGATGATGGTCTGTTGCCCATAAACGGCCAGTCCGATCATGACCACCTGATGCAAAGTAGTATCCATACGGAGAAAATCTCACATCCCATACAGCAAAAACATGGCCTTTGTACACAACAAGACAGGTCCAAGTCTGCAAGCTCCATAAGCGAACTGAAATGAAAAAAGAAGAAAAAAAAAAAAAATCAAAAGCAATGTATGTAAAGCAAATTATAAAATAACTGCTTTCTTTGGTAGCTAGAAATTGCTTTGACAGTTAACATTTACTGAAACTATTGCTACCACTATATTGAACACTGTACAAGCTAAATAAAAACTGTTCAACTATCAGTACTAAAGCAAAATCAGACTGCAATTCTACATAAAATATCAGATTAAAGGACTTTATTAGAAGAAGAAAAAAAAAAAAAAAAAAAAAATACTTACTAGTACCATCCTCTCCTGCTGTCAGCAAGAGGTTGCGGTCTGGACTAAAGGAGCAGGCATAAACTGGGCCCGAATGCCCAAGAAGAGTGCGGACATAATCTGCAGTTCTTTCATCCATCATACGTACCAAGACATCATCTGGAAGAGTACAAGTTTGAATTCCTCTAACATTCTGTAAATCTTTTAAAACTTTTAATATCACATACAAAAAAAATCATTAATAAAATTAATTAAATCTGCTTGTACATACCAGCATCTTTGTCAATGTCGTTCAATTGTTCTGCAGACTTCATACATCTTAATTTGCTTGGTGTGATGCTTTGTACACGAACTTGAGAATCAGCTGTACCATATGCTAGCAAACTTGAATCATCTGATATATCAACTCCTGTTATGCTGAAGAATTATAAGGTCCATGAAGACTTGCCAAAGAACATCAAAAGTTACATAAAATAAAACAGGATACAGAATTTCTCCAATCAAATACTTTAACAGTAATATTATGTGGTACAATTTGCATTCATGCTATTACTTACTTTCCTGTAGCATTCAAAAATGTATAGAAGCATATAGAAGGTAGAGTCTCTCTGTTTAGTGTGACTCTCTTTACTGTATCTCTGAATGCTTTGGCTTTTTCGATTCGATCAATATCCCGCCTAAAAAATAAAAAATAATAAATACATCAAAATTAACAATTGATTGTTAAGATTTTTACTGACCAGTTAACTCTTGTTTTAAGAATCTGCTGAAGTTCCTCTTTACTCTAAAATTTCAACAGCATCATCTTTCAGTGATGAGAGAAAAAAGTTTTCTCCTCATTCCATACCTCTATCATAATTTACATTGATTCAAAACACATATAGTCAAGTTATCTATAAGAAAGTAAACTATAGCAAAAGGAAATTGAGAAAATCTGATAAGGAAAAGTTTTCTGGGGCAAATATACATTACAACATTATTCTCACAGTTCTGGCAAGGGTATTCTGTAGGTAGGTGGTGCATTTGGATCATTTTTTTTGCTCTTCTGAAGGGCATCTTTCTTTGGCTTCTTTTTTTTTGGCTTATCTCCTTCTTCTTCACCTTCTTCTTCCTCCATTGCTAAGTTTGGCAGCTCTGGCTCTTTCAGAAGTCCATAATAGATTTTGGTCTTGTTGACTAAAATAAAATAAGAAGTTAACATACATGGCTAAAATTATCATTTGTTTTTCATAAATGGGAACTGCCAAAATGGAAACAACATTTCACAGACCATTTAGAGTCCAGAATCTATAGATACATACATTTATCTTTTACATCCTCACTTTATATATCACATACTAACCCTGTTTAGGTGCTTCTCCTTCCTGAGCTCCTGCTGTTGCTCCAACCTGTGCTCTTGTCCGAGGAACTCCTTCATAAACATCTAGGTACAGTCTGTCATGTATGATTCTTGCAACAGGTCCTCCTCCACGCTCTGTTAGGTACCGCTTCAAGTGAGCATAGGTATCTCTTGACATTCTCACTGTAAACTGGTTTGATCTACAAAAAACAAGTAAATGTTGTAATGATAAGTTAAACCATTATAAATGGTAAGTCACCAAAGTAATATAAAAATAATTGAAATAATGCAATAAGTATACTGAGTCCATGCTCAATAACGTCATTTTTAGGTAGCTTTCAAATATTGCACACAAAGCTTTATATTTTAACAGTGGTAACTCCATGAAACCCATTGTCTGTTGAGAGTGAATTCATCACCACCAACACCACCACAGACAAGCCAAGCATAAATTGCTAATGAGATATGTCAAAATCATATATATTCCTTAATATTTTTCATTCATATAATTCAATACTACTGCCAACTGTGATTTATTATTTGGCAATTGACAAAGCCAACCGTGACATTATAATTTTTTTTTTTTAAAGCTGTGATATTAACAAAAGTTTTATATTAGGCATGAATATATATATTCCTTCATGTTTATTTAATCACCTTTTGAAAGCCTCTGAAAAGGAGAAACAGTATAGGTTTCCAAGAACAATACACAGAGATAGAGGGGAATGGACAACACCATAAGCTGCAGCAGCCTCAAATTTACCATGAAATGTAGAAAATGTTCACTGCATATCACTGCTCAGAGACCAAGTCCACGACACCCTTAATATCTGCTTTCTATAGGTTGCATGAAGTGCTAATAAATGGGGGGTACAAAGGGGCTTTACCCCTTATCTAGGGAATAAATAGAAGGTAGGAAAGGTTAGGTTGAGTGTTTGGGTTTGGATGATATGCTGGTTTTGGGACTTGATCTTTGGATGGTGCGTCACTCTCAGTAACAATTAACAGAGAAGCAAATTTATAAACTGTACATTATTATGAAATACACTTAATCAATAGCTGTTTCATCACCTTCCAGGTAACTTAATAGAGTATGAGAATTTTATGGTCACACATCCATTTCCTCCTGACTAGGAGACTAATGCCAAAGAGGTTATAATATAGGGAAAAAATCCATATAGTTATACACCTCTTCCTCGTGTACAACCTACCTTGCTGTGCTCCTAGGGGAACCACCTGTTTCTATTTTTAACTTACAGATATCTATTATTTTCCCATTAATTCTTGTCTTATCAAAATCTTAAATTGCAAATACTCTGAAATTTGGACTGAAAGTTTCTTTGAATAAAACCACAGATCCTACTTTTTACCAATTGAGATAATATTGGCTTCCTTGCATCTTTCTAAAATAATTATCCATACTAATTTTTCATCTCTCCTTGCATTATAGACCTCTTGGATCCAGAAGCTTCATTACCTGCTTGTGGCCCAAATTTCAGGCATTAGGCTTACTTGCGCTGCCACTCTGACAGGCGTGCGCCTTGTTGGCTATGTGTAGAGAAAAGACTCCATGCCTCCCCTTTACTATGTTATTTTCTCTTTTTGTAGATAAGCATCTTTATTTTTATTTATTTATTCATTTATCTTTTAACCATTTTCCAATGGCTCTATTTGTCATTTTATTTGCTTTAACCAGATGGTAATAGACTATTCCTTGCACAGGCTTCATATCTTTCTTGGTAGTCCATAATTTAGTGCAATAATAATAAAAATAAAAAACATGTTATTTGTCTTTTTTTGTCATTTTCAATTTTCTTTAATACAACATGCGCCACTAGTCATGGGTAGCAGGAATATGATCCTGAATACAGAAATAGCGTACTCACTGGAGCAGGCCCTCTTCCAGTCATGGCTCACAGGTGGTACATTCCACACTCGTTTATCAATGAGAATAATGCAAAAGCTTCTTCCTAAATGCTCAGTCTAATCACCCTCCAAAAGCTTTTTTGCACTCATGGTAAGTTATTCCTGTCACCCTAGCCTTCAGCTGAAATTCTCATGATGGCAAGTTCCTGTCACCTCAGCCCTCAGCTAAATTTTCCCATGATGGCATATTTACATCACCCAACCCTCAAGCCAAATTTTTTCGTGACATGATGGTATCGGCATCCAGATAATAAGAGTTAATACAGTCTCTAACATATATGCATGTAGTATTCTATATTGCGGATGGAAAAATTAACCCAATGCTGCCTAATATTAATTGTTTTTACATATAGATGGCTTCGCAAATGCTTTGTCACCAAGGAGCCAATAACTAATCCTACCTCTTATCATCTGTTCACCTTTTCCTTGACCTACAGAAACATTTCATTTGATTTTATATTGCTACTAATATTGTTAATAACACTAAGTTTGTGCACATGTGATAAGTCTTTTCTATCAGCCAAGCCTTCACCTGAAATCCTCACGATGGCAAGTTCACGTCACCCACCCTTCAAGCCAATTTTTTTCATGACATGCTGGTCACGTCATCCAGATCAAAGAGGTTAATATTACGTACCATTCTTTGAAAAAAGACAAAATTATGAGAGTTTCCATGATAAGCAAGATACAGTTTTCCAATTATATATTTTGGTTAATATTTCCATGTAACCTTCTGTAAGAAAAGACTAACTTATGAGACAGTTTCCCAGATAAGTAAAATGTAATTTTCCTTTTATATACCTATTTAACTTCAATAAACTTCCTTTCTCATTCTCTATTCAACAATTCTAAAAGCAAATTAATGTAAAAATAAAGAGATGTTTTAATTTACCTTAAACATATAAGAATGCTATCCAGTTCTGACTCACCGAAAGTTATCCATGATTTGGTATCCTGTCATGTGATCCCTCGATGTAACAAGAGAGAGTTTGTGCATATCTTCCTCAAAGTAATCTTCCTGAGTGTTGCCAAATTTCTCCATGAATGATTTTGCAACTTCCTCATGACCATTGTATACTAATTCTAGGTACATGTGGACGAATACTGGGAACAGCACCAAAGCCACTTCGTGCTGCAAGGAAAAAGAGTGTTGAAGTTTAATACTGTATATAAATGTTCAAATAGGGTTATTAATTTTCACAATCTAAAAGAAAAAAAAAATCTTAAGACCTACATACTTTGCTTAGATTTACTATTATTAAATAGCATATCATGAGATACATTAGGAACTGAATTAAATGCCCTATTATGATTTTCATGTATTGTCTTTCATTTATTCACATGAAGCAGGCAAATTTAAATATGGGGTACTTAAAAGGCTGTAAATCTTTCCTAATCCAATTAAACACCACATCATCTCTTTAGGAAATTGAATTACAACACTTACTTTCAGGTTGGTTGATAAACCCTATTTAATCTTACTGTACTATAAATGTCCAAAAAGGTCTCAAAACTCATATCAATCAATTTTTTTCACAAGACATAAAGAACAATCTCAACTCATCATCTACAAGGTAGGTTATCAAAATTATTTAACCCTTTAACATCTTACATCTAATGCCTCATTTTATGTACAAGATCCTATGCTCAACAATCTTATGCAAGTTATCCTAAAACTAGCAAGCTGCTCTCTTGCTCCTATTTAAAGTTACTGAGATTCAGTAACAATGATTTAATAAATCTGATACTATCTGGATGTTTTATCCATTGATGCCTGCTTTCCTATCCACTACTTCACTGAACCACTCCTCTGTAGGAACATTACTTCATTTACTTCCTCACTTGTGGAAGATACTTTAAAATTAATTTGTTTCCTTACTGCATTTTTACCAATTATGAATATATACTCTGTTTACTTGGAGAGGGTTTTATTTTCAAAATGACTACCCATTGTGTGGAATCAATTTGAATAATGATACTGAAGTACACGTTTTCCAATTTGTAAAATTAAGCCCTCAGAATAAAGAAAAGAAAAAGGAAGGAAAAAAAGAAAAAGAAAAAAGAAAAAAGAAAAAAAAAGAAAAGAAAGAAAAGAAAAAAAGGCAAACTTGAAAAATCAGGCCTTCTGAGTCTAATGTATTAAAAGGATTTTGATATCAGAACTCTGCTAGGTCCATAGATACACTAACACCTGGTGTCTCTTAACCTGTTGATACTAGGAATAAAGGTATATATATGCACTGTCGACTGTTGTTTTTTATATATCTTATTAATTTTGTCTATACATAGATGGCTCCAGAAGAGCTTGATTACCAAAGAGATAGTTACTAGCCTTACCCAATCCTTTCTATTTACTCAATTCCTCCAATATTCAGTAAATCTTTTTTAGTTTCTATTATATTATCAGCATTTATAAAGTTACAGAAGATATAAAGATAATATTAATAGTAATAATGTTAATAACAAAAACAATAACAAGGGAAAGAAAGATTTCTTCTCTAAATATTGCTGACAAAATGGGGTAAACGGGTGAGATTACGTAGGCCTAGCAACTACCCTCTTGTAAGTGAACTCTTCTAAAGCCATCTACATATAAAATAAACAGATAAAAAACAAACAGTGTGGAATGCGCATTCACCATGCATCGAAGGGCTAAAATTTAAAATAAATATAAACCAAAGAATCTACTACAGCAAACCTATACTCAATAAATTTAAACAATTCTCAAATTGATACCTATTAAATCTACAAAAATGCTTGGTTACTCATAACTGACACATCTTTCTTTTATCAGAACCAAAAATATCGGTTGAGCCTAACAATGAGTTATATAGTTATATGGTATTTAACCTGTTGATACTTGGCAGACATGTGTACATGCCCTATATATCATAAACTTATTTAGTACTATAATTTTTTGCTTACAAATAAATAGTTTCAAAGTTGGTTTGTCACCATGGAGTCAGTTACTAGACCTACTTGATCTCCTCTGTTCACCTTATTCCACGATTTTTTGCTATGGAAAGTTTTTATTTCTATTACCATTGACATTGTTATTAAAATTATGTTAACCCCCTGGATCCAGATGACGTTGCGATTATGTCTAGGAAAAAAGCAAAGCATCAAGAGTGAAGGCCAGGGTGACAAAAAAGACTTGCCACGAGTGCACAAACCTCTTGGAGTGTGATTTGACTCATTTGGTGCTTAGAAGGGGGCTTTAGCATTATTCCCATTGATAAACGAATGTGGAATGTAACGTGCGTAAGCAGTGACTGGAAGAGCACCGGCTCCAGGGAGGACACCATTTTCATGCTGTGCACCGTATTCCGGCCACTGTGACTGGCGGCGAAAGTTGTATTACGTAAAGTTGAATATTAGAAAAAAAATGAGATAGGACACAAATAACCAAATGTTCCATATATATATATATTTTTTTTTGCACCGAGCTATTTACTACATAGAGAGATGATATGGAGTTTGTGCAAGGAAAATAAGAAATTACCATCTGGATAAAGCAAATCAAAAGATAAATATGGACACTGGAAAATGGCGATAAAGCTAAAAAAGTTTTCACAATATAACTTCTCAAAGGGGAGGCATACAGTCTTGTCACTGCTCATGGGTGTTTGTGTGCGCCCCGGCTACATGCCACACGCCCGGGATGCTGGCCACTTACATAACCAATGGAACCAGATCCAGGAGGTTCATGATAAAATCAATACCAATAATATTTGCATTAACAAAAATAATGTTAGGAAAAAAATCCAGAAATTCATGGAATCGGGAAACAGGTGAGGTTTGGAAGGCCGATTAACCTACTTCCAAGTGACAGTACTAGTGAAGCCATCTATGTGTGTACACTGCATATAACCAACACCAATGGGTTAACATTTGCAGTAAATTCTATAAAACAGCATATTATGTAAACTGTATATCAGGAATCAAGGTGTCAAAAAAAAAATAATAATAATAATAAATAAAATAAAATAAGAAAAGAAAATAAAAATAATAATAATAAAGATAAATAAATAAATAAATAAAATAAAAAACATTTACCTTGTATGCATCCAGACTCTTCTCAATAAAGTTTTGTAGACTTTTGTAAGCATCCTCATATTCAGCTGGGTCTCCCTCACTCTTATAAGCAGACAAGACACTTGTGACCTCTGAATCACCACCAATGCCACCTTCACTGTCAGATACAGTGTCATAAAAATTGGTTTCCTGTCTTAGCAAATCTTCTGTTGCCTGTTGGGAAAGAGACAAGATTTTTAGTTGTGTAAATAACTTAAATAAGAATGCACATAAATCATAAACAATTCATAAAAATAAACAACTAATCACATAAAATGAACTTTGTGTAAAATAAAAAGACTTCCACAGAATAGTATTATTGGCATTTCTATATATTACCTGCCTATGGACTTAAAGGAAATACTTATTGATCTTGTTAAATGAAATTACTGCTCTTACATAAAAACATCTCTACAGAAAGTAACTGTTATTGTTTTTTATATACATGATCTGTCTATCAACTGCATGAGATTTCTACAGGTTTTGTTTCATAAAAATGTCAAATCTATTCTTTGCTTTTACTTAAAAACAGCTTCTAAATGTATTAAATGTCAAAGGTTGTAGAGTACTAGCACAGCATGGTAGTGAAAACGGTAAAGAAAACCAGCAATGCCCAGGAAATAGCAAACAGAGTACAAAGGCTGTTCAGGACTGACACAAAGCCAACCTTTAATCATTTCAGCACAGCTCCCACACTTCATAATGTGGACAGAAGTAGGATATGAAGAAGAGAAGGAAGAGGAAAGGGGGTGAAGAAGGGAATATGCAAAATTAGTTGAGGTGAGGGCTGAGGAACATGGTTGGGGTGATTCCCTACACTGGGCCTCAGTCTCCATCTCCTAATCCCCCGATGACAACAATGATCAAGGGATTAGGGGGTAATATCCCACCTACTTAAACCACTATTAAACCAACTAGTTCCTAGAAGCACCCATAATAGAATAATCATTTGATTTTCATAATAGAATAATCATTTGATTTTCATAATAGAATAATCATTTGATTTTCATAATAGAATAATCATTTGATTTTCATAATAGAATAATCATTTGATTTTCAACATACTCTATGGAAGATAAAACTAAAAATAGTTTATGCATAACTGATATTTATTATTTATCTACTGAAAAAAAAAAGAAAAAAAAAATCTGCTGCATCAAAATCTAAGGTCATTAATAGTGTATTCAACATTTAGTGATAGGTTGAGGCTTAAAAAGAATAGGTCAGTTAACAATTATGACAAAAATTATAAGGACTAAACATGTTAGAGAGATTGAAGGGATAACTGATGTAATACTATGGATAAAAGAGATAATTTTCCTTCATGTTGGTAAGCACACCTTATTCATGAAATAAAGGCATAGGAACTTCTACATTATAGTTGAAAATTTTGTCTACTATACTGAAGTGGTTTAATTTCAGAAAAATTGAATCACAATCTTTCATTCATATTTATTGATTTACTGAACATTTTCAGCCATGTTAACATCTAAGGTCATTTGTGGGTTATACAAAATACAGCAATAGGGGTGAAGCCCCCAAGTAAGGAAATGTCCTACAGTATTATGATAAAGTATTGTGGAAAAAAAAATCTATTATTAGGATAAAATATATTACATAAAGGCTTTAAAGAGCACTGTAGGTTAGTATGGTAGTGAAAATGGTAAAGAGGGAATACCATGAAGGCCATTCTGAACTAACACAAAGCCAGCCTTTTATCCTTTCAACAAAGCTCTCACACATTAGGATGTGGACAGGAGAGAAGGAAATGGAAAAATGAAAAAAGACCATTCAAAATTTGTTTAGGCAAGGGCTGAGGTCCAAGGTAAGGAGTGATCCCCTACATTAGGCCTCAGTCCTCGTCTCCTAGCTCCCCCTTCCCCATTACAACAATGGGTATGGGATGGGGGGGAGGGGTTTTCATTCACAGAAACTAATTGTTTAGATGGCTAGATTAAAATTCTACCAATTTTCAACTTTATAAGCATTCTTTTTTATCAGGTGTTGTTAGAGGTAGAGTTTAGGCTCTCATGTATAGAATAATTCTTTTAAACAGTTAGGGGAGAAGCTAATGGTGGGTGTGGTGTAAAGATGAAGTATAGGGAAAAAGGATCAGGCATGTATTAAGAGCATTAGAATGTTGAGGTGTAAGTAATGTTAACATAATATTAGGTATTGGGAGTTTGAAGTTACGAGGCTAGCAATTTCGCAGATAAAAAGACTATCATAAATAGACACCATAAAGATCTCTTTCTTCTTGAAAAAGCAAAAAAAAAAATAAATGAGAGAATTTTCCGAGATGGTGTAGGGATAGGAAATACTATGCATTAGAAGCCAGGAAGAAAACTTTATTAGGAAAAATGAATCTATGCAAGTATCCGGTGAAGAGAGGCAGAAAATCAAAGACTGAAATTCAATCATCTCAAAGTGTACCTGAAATAACAAAATATGGAATTAACATATAAACAAGAAGACTTTGCATTATTTGAAAACACTCCTGAGAAACCAAGGAGGGTCGTACCTTGAACTGATTTTTCTTCAAAAAGTTTAAGACCGCGACGAGAGAATTTCTATCTAAGGAAACCGAAGATTCTCCCGCTGTCGCTGTCGCATTACCATTCGCCTGAGCTGGACTCCCTGAATTTGGAGGAATAACCGTAGCCATAATTGGTGATGCCACAGTTTGAACGGCGCCAGTCCCTGCTACCCCGACTGTGTTCACCACATTCACCGAGTTCACCACCGTCGGGTCGCTGTGATTCATGACGCCTTGGTGTGTGGTGAGCTGTTGACCCGTCTGCAAGTCGACACCAGCCAACCCGTTGATTATGGTCGGGTTAGCGGGTGTCAAACTAGCGTAAGTGGGGCCCGCCGCGTCTGACATGTTTACAATCAGCACAAGACGCAAGTACTCGATAAACACGAAACGCAACTACTCGATAAACGGTAATTATTCTAATTGAAGTATTTATGATCATGATGAATAGCTTCTGTTTTTATCTAACAAGTTTTCAATAAACGACTGTTTTGTCTTAACTGAAAAGAAAAGTAAAGGAAGAAGTGATATTCGGATGGAAGTTTTATGAATAGCACAATTTCAAAGCCATGGCAAGATAATCGATAACAAATGCAAACCATACCTATGGTATCGATATCCCATAAAATACCTCATATAAAAAGCTTGATAATTTTTTGAAATTCTAAAATATATTCAAAACTAAAATATCCCCATGATGAAAAAGAAAAATTAAAGTCGACATTTTGAAACCTATGACGTCACAGCCGGACAAACACAAGTCCTTCCAAGCGTCTTCTTCGCAAGGTAAAGACGTGCGCCTCTCGGCTTTTCGAATTTATCCTGTAACATCTGTGATGATACTTGAGAATTTGTCTTGAAACTATACTAATTGTGATCTTTTGCTGTTTCAGTTGATACTGCGACAAGATGCGTGCTAAGGTAAGCAAAGATTAATAGTATTTTGGTTGATGTAAAAAGAGCAACATTTTCATCTGCGTGTTGTGAATGTAATGTCACGTGTTCATATATTGCTTGTTTTGGTGCGACTTTATTCAAATAGTTATCTCAAATCTATTCCAAACCAACCAGGCTATATATTAGCTATACTGTGAATTTGTATAGTCGTAGATAAAGTAAGATTTGTAACATTTTTCCCAGCTAACAACCTGGGCGAAGCAAAGGAATGGTTCCCCTCCATTTGCAGTGTTGTACTAGATCGTTATTCAGAAAGTGTCCTCAACGTAAAAATGAAAAAGGAGGGAAAATTAAGAATATTGTTGAACTGTAATTTTAACGTTGAAAGTGTTGCAGACTGTTAAACCTAATAAGTTTTTCCACCTATATGCGTTTAAATGGAACCTAATTATCTGAGGAACTAACTTTTTAAAAACTTTTTATGATAATTTTAAACTAGTTTTCAAAGTTAGGGGTGGTATTTTGATAAAATAAACTTTTTTTGAGTAATGAGTTTTGCCACACCATTCTAGTGCATTTTGTGAATGGTTTAAAAGCCTCCTGACTATCGGCCAGTTTGTTAAAATCGTGGCAGTCCCAACCCAATGAACTTTCATAAATACAGACAGAAATAAAGGCATCTGTCTATATGGCTGATAGATATACATTTAACAATCTATTTGCCCGGTTGAAATGCATGTCTAGACTGATAGATATGCATTTATATCTTTGTTTATGCGTGTCAAGGATATGAATATTCTTTGGGTCGGGCCTCACAATTCTAAAATTGGCAGTATACCATCATCAGTGAAGAAGGGTCTGATCTTGACTACAGCTTAAGGAATCTATACTAATAAATTAATTTCCCTTTCAGTGGAGGAAGAAGCGTATGCGCAGGCTTAAGCGTAAGCGCAGGAAGATGCGTGCGAGGTCCAAGTAGACTGCTTTCCACTACCTTGTCCCCTTTTACTTAACAAGTAAGTAATTGTTTAACAAGTGTATGTAAAGGACTTGCAGGAGGTGCATTACCTCCTTGTATGAACTTAAAATTGTATTGTCCTTGAAATTCATTGAATTTTTGTATTCATCAAAGGTCCTTGTTAACTAAAGGAAAAGGGATTCACAATGTAGAAACACTTCTAAGTATAACTTGCTAATGCTGTCAGTGATTAATGGTTTGTCACCAAAAATATTCAACTTGCATACATCTCTTGTTTATTTTTAATCTTTCTTATTTCTTAATATGATAGAGATTTTCATGTTTATTGGACTTATTGGTGCTTCTGTGATGAATTAATCTTTGCTTCTCTAATTCCAGATTGACAGAACCATGAGACCATCATAAACTGCCACTTTTTTTTTTCTATCAATAAAATGTGAAAGGGGAAAACGCTTTCTTTTTATCCCAATATATAGTTTTTAACATGTTGAAGAGGTGCAAAGAAAAAAGAAAAAGAATAAATCAAAAGTGCAAGGCCCTTGTAATAGAACCAGAAATACAATGGTTTGTTGAATACTAAAGGTGTCAAACTTCTTAACTTTTATTTTATATTTTCTACTTGTCTTTACAAGTGTTAAGAGTAATTGCCATCTAAATTAACAAGCATTTTAAGTTATAAGTGAATTGGTTATCTGGAGTACAGAATTTTGCAAGAATACCAAAATACAATTCAAAGACATTAAGGCAGAATTGGTTCTGTATCTATATTTTTCGTGGACCAAGATATGGTTCAAAACTAAGCACTACAAATTGTGCCATATGCTCGCAGAATGAAACTGGTTGTAAAATGGGTATGAGAAACCATTTATTACTAAAGCTCCAATCCAACAACATAACACACAGAAGTGGGCTTGACTAGGAACGGATCCCTCCAATGCCCAGCAACTGCCCCTTCCTATCCCTTGCTCATTGATTTCGAACCTTTTCACCACACAATAATATTGCTGTATAACTCTTGGGCTTTAAGCCTCCCCCTGTTGCTAAAAATTGAATGTTGAATATGTTGCTAATGACACAAGTGTTGACGTGATCGAAATGGCTCCATAAATAATACTGAAAACCTCGGATATGAGAGGAACACATGTACAGTGATTGTGAATGTTTGTTACTAACGTAAAGTAAACCAGAACAATTTGGACCTGGTGAAGGAGATAAGGCAATTGGTAAAAATTAACGAGAGTGACGCACAGTGTTAGGGGAAACAAATTTAACTTAGAGCATAAGAAATATAGTAAAAAGCAACGAGTATAGCTGCAACAGCCTCGTTAAAAATATATTAGCTACATATACCCACTTGGAGACAGTCCTCAACCCCCAGCAGAGTTCTTTGTCTGTTCTCTAGGTGGACAAAGTGTTAATTAAGATGGGTACAGGTCAAGGGAATAAGTAGAAGGTAGGAAAGCCCAGGTAGGGTGGTTTTGGATTTGACAGGGTGCGTCGGTTTCGGTAACATTTACCAGGCTCATTTAATTAGTTGCCCCCCCCCCCAAATCACATATTTGTTGGAGTTCATCCCCAAGTGTTTTTTTTTTTTTTCCTTTTCTCTATTCCACCTGTCCACATTCTAAACTGTGAAGGAAATATTGATAGGAAAGACTGACTGACTATATTTATGTACGTGTATGGCCATGTACACATGTAAATATATATTTCTCTTTCTCTCTCTCATATATTTATATATATCCATATCCTAGTGTATATATATCTACACATACATATAGATATATCTCTAAATATATAATATATATATATATATATATATATATATATATATATATATATATATATATATATATATATATATATATATATATATATATATATATATATATATATATATATATATATATATAATATATATATAATATATATATATATATATATATATATATATATATATATATATATATATATATATATATATATATATATATATATATATATATATATATATATATATATATATATATATATATATATATATATATATATATATATATATACATATATATATATATATATATATATATAATATATATATATATATATATAATATATATATATATATATATATATATATATGTATATTATATATATATATATATATATATATATATATATATATATACATATCATATATATATACTATATATATGTATATATATACATATATATATATATATATATATATATTATATATATATATATATATATATATATATATATATATATATATATGTATATATATATATATACATATGTATATATATATATATATACATATGTATATATATATACATATGTATATATGTTCATATATATATAATATATATATATATAATATATAGTGTATATATATACATATGTATATATATACATATGTTATATACATTTATGTAATATATATACATATGTAATATATACATATGTATATATATACATAATATATATAACATATGTATATATATATGTTACATATGTATATATATAGTACATATGTATATATAATATATAATATATTATAATTATAATATATATATATGATAATATTGTATATATAATTATGTACATATGTTATAGTATATATTATATATATAATACATATGTATACTATATATACACATATGTATATTATATATACTACCCATATGTAATATATCAAGTATATACATATGCTAATATATATAAGCATATGTATATATATCCTATGTATAATCATATAACATAGTAATATATCTAGCTAGTATAGCATATATATATACATATAAATATATATATAATATATTATATATATCAGTATATAGTGTATAAATATATTGCATATATATATATTACATACATACATTATATACCTGATACATCTATATAAATTACATACATATATATGTATATTATATGTATAAATTATATATAATACTACCATTACATACATAAATATTTAGTATGTCAATGTACTTATATAGCTAATAACTTAACCCGTAGTGGTACATATGTATATATATACATATGTATAGTATATTAGCATATGTATATATAACGTTATGTATATAATATATTGTTATATATAATATTTATTATATTATTGACAATATGTATACCTCACTATAAACATATGTATAGTATATACATATGTATATAATATTTAACCATATTGTATAATATATACATATGTATATATATTATACCATAGTATACTGCACATTATATACTCGTCATATATAACTCATATGTATAGTTATATGTCATATATACCTATATACACAGCATATATATATATGATGCTATAGTATATACATACTATATGTATAATATAACATACACATAGTATGGCTATATATATAAGTATATATATATATTTTATATGATATATGTATATAGTATATACATGATATATATGTAATGTATGTATATATCATATTAGTAATATATATAATACACACTCATACTAATATCATATTTTATATATAATATAATTGTATATAATAGTATACATTCAAAATATGATATATATGTATTTTATATAAGCCATACTCATATATTAGTATCATATTAGTACATATATATATTACATATATTATATAAGGTATGCATATACTATATATAAATGCTGTATATATAATGTATATATAGTAAACATATGTATAACTTATACCTGTATATATATTTAAATATATATGATAAGTAACGAGCATATATGTATATTCTAATGTAATAAGTTATTATAAGATATAGTTATGTATATATGATAGTGTAAGTATAAGATACATACTATACATATATATGTATATATATACATAGCATACATATATATGGTTATATATAAATATTCGATATATATAGTATCATACATAATATATTGTATATATATATTAAAAGAAGGCAATTATATAATAGATAAGTATTATATATACAGAATATTAGATAATTAAATAATATACTATGGTATATATATATGTTGTGTGTGTGTGTGTGTATATATTAAAATATTATATATATATATTATTATATATATTATATATATATATTATACATATGGATTGTATATATATATATATTAATACATATGTAAGTATACATATGCTAGTATATTAATATACATATGTAGTATAACATATGTATAATATATATAATTATGTATATATATATATAGATGATATATATGTTACATAATATCGATAAACAGAACATATATTACATAATATTATTAATATATATATTATATATATATGCTATATATATATATGATAATATAATATATATATTAGATATATATAATAAATATTTATATATTATACATATATCTATATGCAATATATATATATATATATATGTATAATATAATAATATACATATATATGCATATATATATATATATATACTATATATATATATATTATATATATATATACATATATATAATATATATATTATTTATATATTACTCATATATATATATGTATATATATAAATATATATATTATATATATATATATATAGTATAATTATATGTATGTATGTATGTATAATATCATATATATATACATACATATATATATATATATATATATTATATATATATGTATATATATATACATATATAAATGATAGATATAGAGAGACAGAGAGACAGAGAGACAGGAGAGAGAGAGGAGAGAGACGAGAGAGACGAGAGAGAGAGAAATAAAGACAGAGAGAGAGAGAATAAAGAGAGAGAGAGAGAAATAAAGACAGAGAGAAGAGAGAGATAAAGACAGAGAGAAAGAGAGAGAAATAAAGAAAGACAGAGAGAGAGAAATAAAAGACAGAGAGAAGAGAGAGACAAGAGAGAGAAATAAAGACAGAGAGAGAGAGAAATAAAGACAAGAGAGAGAGAGAAATAT